GCAAAAACCCCAAAGTTCTTCAACAGGCTTGATGACAGAATCTGGGATATGGAGAACGCCTTCACCAACATCATAATGCTTCAAAGTCATACCTTGGTCAGGGTCCCTATTACCTTTGAAGAGGTCAGCAAAGGTAACGGGTTTGGCAGCAGCCTTCTCTGGTTCAGGCATATTGTCAAGCACCTGGGGGGTGTTCTGCTCAGTAGTATTCCCCACCTGAGGAGCGCGTTCTGGGACAACTTCAACAAAAGGAGGGGACGTTGCAGACGAGGAAGAAGAAGTCTGGGCCCGCTCTTTCTCAAGTGCTTGCATAGCTATGTCCGTAGCCAAGCTGGAAGCCTTCGTAGCATCTTCTTCAGCCCCGTTCTTCTTAGGGCTTCTGGGAACCTTCCTCTTAATCTTCTTACCACTTTGGGCTTTGCCGGAACCCATAGCAGCAGGGGGAATCAGAGGGAGTGGCCAAGAAACATTGGAGAAGAAAGTGAACAGTAAGCGAGAGTGGAATCGACCACCGTTCTCAACCTAGAGCACAAGAGGACAAAAGCACCGGTAGAAATGCTCGCCCAAGGATGGGGAAGCAGAATCTACACTCAAAGAGGAGAGACACCAACAGATGAGCGCTCAAGGTCGATGGCTATGGTGACGGCTACTGTAGCAGCATGTCGCTAGAGAGAAGTCTCGGCCAAGGATTTTTATATTCTTAATCTACCCTACTCCAATTCCTACAATGAAGGGTGGAGGGATCATCCAAATCTGAGATATGATCCCAGACCAAATCCCCCAGGTTTTCAAAATACAAACAACAATTTTTCTGCAAATCTAAACAACCCTCCTGGTCCTGTTGATAAAACACACCAAATGCTGGAAGTAATTTTGAAAAAAAAAAAATGGAGGACAAGTTCTCCCTGGTTGATCAGAATATGAAGCTAGTGCAAGAAAGGCAAACAGCCCAGGATACCTTGTTGAGTAATTTGCAGGCCCAAATTAACAACAGGTTACCTGCTCAACCATTTCCTGCTCCTAAGGAGAATGTGAGTGTTGTTGTCCTTAGGAATAACAAGGTACTTCCTGAACCTTCCTTAGGGAATGTTAGAAGGGATCAGGAAATTATTGAAAAGGAACTTGACTCACAGAAAATCCAAGAACCTGAATTGGTTAAAAATAAATCTATTGTGACTCCTGATACTCCTAGGGCAGTTTATAGACCTCAGCCACCCTTCCCCAGTAAATATCAGAATCAAAGGAAGAACAGTAAAGAACCAGATGATGAAATATTTGATGTGTTTAAAAAGGTTCAAGTGAACATTCCTCTTTTAAATGCAATAAAAAATGTTCCAAAATATGCAAAATTTTTGAAAGAGATGTACACTAATAAAAGAAGGCTGAAAGGGGATGAGAGGGTAAACATTAGTGAAAATGTATCTGCCATCTTTCAAAAGAAACTTCCACAGAAATGTCAGGATCCTGGTGTGTTTTCTGTGCCTTGTAAGATTGGAAATTTGGAGAATACCAAGGCTTTACTTGATTTAGGAGCATCCATCAATGTCATGCCTAGGGAGTTATTTGACCAATTGGGGGTAGGAGAACTAAAAGAGACTGGGGTAGTTATTCAACTTGCTGACAGGAGTTTGACTTACCCAGAAGGGGTGGTTGAGGATGTTTTAGTCCAAGTCAATGACATGCTCTTTCCTGCTAACTTTTATGTCCTTAACATGGGAAAGGATTATTCAGGCATCCCTCTCCTTCTGGGTAGACCATTTTTGAAAACTGCTAAGGCCAAAATTGATGTTGATGCAGGAACTTTGTCCTTAGAATTTGAAAATGAAGTTATTAAGTTTAACATTTTTGAAGCAATGAAGTTTCCTGATCAACTCAATCAAGTTTTTACATTAGACATCATTGATGAAATGGCACAAGATGTTTTTCAATTATCAAATCAGGATGAGCTTTTGAGTGTGGTGTCCAATAGTCTGGATCCTGAATCCTTGAAATTCTCTCCATACACTGTAAA